CCGTTTACCTGAGAGGGCCCTGGCTCTGTAGAATGTACATGTGATATATACATATATACTGTGATATATACAGTATATTAAAATATGCTATATACCAATAAATGACTAACACTATAGATCATTGCCCAAATTATCTACAATTCTGTATCACCACCACTTAGATACAATAGTGTGTGTGTGTTATTCTCCAATAAATTGCCCTTCATGATGGGATAAAAGTCTGTATCTATAGATGTCATTTAACGGTCATAATTCAATCTAAATGACCATATCAAACTGGTTTATTTAATATAGTCTGTAACTTCCATGCAGCCTGAGGTAAGCTACTCACTGTTTCTAGCAGCATCCAGTACATACAGGAGGTTGTTTTTATTTTATTTCATAATGATCATTATGTAAGAAAATAATTTGTGTTTAAATTTGTTTCATCAAGAAATATTTCATTTTCTTTGTTGTTATGGTAAAAAGAGCAAGAGAGACAGATAAATCTCCACAGAGTCCCTGGAATGACGCTAACTCATTAACACAGTGCTGCTCACCTTCTTCACTGGGACAGGGGGGCTACAGTTATGGGGACACTGGGCTGCTGCTGACTCACCTGTTGTTAGTCTGCTAAAAGGGCAGGGACAATGATTTAATATGAATATCTTGCTAAACGTTTCCCTGCACTGATTAAATGTTGATGAAATGTTGGCTAACACTAGTCTGCAGCTAGCTAGCTTATTTCACTGTGGACATTAAGCCAACAGGTTAACACCTCTCTCAGACTAAAGGCTCCCCACCTTTCTAGGTGAAAAAACTGGGTTACAGAGTGACATCCTTTCCTTTCCTTTGTCTTTCCTCTCTTTTTCCTTTTTTGAAAACCAGATTTTGGTTACTGGGCAAGACCGTGATCACTGTATTTCTGGCGCATCTACTGACTGCAACTAAACACCGTGCGCTAAGGCAGGACCAAAACCATTTAATGCAGATACAGGGTGGTCAATATGGAGGTTTACTTATTGATCAACGGGGATATTTAACTTTTATTGCCAAAAACAAGTAAAAACAAAGAGATCATTATTACATTTGAAATATATATAGGCTACTCAATGATGATGGTTTACATAATTTATATTTTCCTGCTGCTTGCAGTAATTCATGCAAAAGGGGCCCAAAAGGGGCCCAAAAGGGGCCCAAACCAAGTACTGAGTACATATGCATGATTATACTTTTCAGAGGGCTGACATTTCTGTATTTAAAATCCTCCAAAACAACTTACAATTGCTATACATGTCAGAGGTCGCACGCCTCTGGAGCAACGAGAGGTTAAGTGTCTTGCTCTGCAATACAATGGAGGATGGGTCACAGTTGGGGATTGAACCCGGATCTCTCACACCAAAGGCCTGCGTCTTATCCACTTTTTACACGTTTTACATTTATATTTACTCATTTGGCAGACGCTTTTATCCAAAGCGACTTACATTTGAGGAACAACATAAAAGCATCAACAGAGCATCAACTACAGATCTACAACTGACAACACATACTAGTAAGAGCAGCAACACATACTAGTAAGAGCAGCAATAAATACTAGTAAGAGCTCACAGTACATTTCATATCAATGGGGTAGATACCGAGGGAAGGAAGTAAGAGTTAACAAAAAAGTGCAATCAATACAAAATCATTGTAGGGGATAGAAGAAGAAGAGCACAGGAAGTGCATGTTAGAGGTTGGGAGTTAGAGGTGTTATAAGAGGAAGTGTTCTTGGAAGAGATGAGTTTTCAAGAGCTTCTTGAAGTTAGAGGGACGCCCCTGCTCTGATGGTGTGTGGTAGCTCGTTCCACCATCGTGGTGTCACAGATGAGAACAGCTGGGACTGGGATTGCTTTGTGTGAAGGGATGGCAGAGCCAGGCGGCGTTCGTTGGAGGAGCGTAGCGGCCAAGAAGGAACGTAAGTTTGTATCATGGAGTTTAGGTAGATGGTGCAGACCCAGTAGTCACTCTGTATGCAGCATTAGTGACTTGAATTTGATTCTGGAGGCCACGGGGAGCCAGTGGAGTCATTGAGTAATGGAGGGACATGAGTCCTATATAATAATAATAATATATTACCTATTTTTTTCTTCTTTATCTTTGTCTTCGTATGTATTCAACGTTGTGAGGAAACGCGCTCTGTAGAGCTGTTTCTCCGTTTTGGGCTACTGTAGAAACATGGCAGTGTAACATAACATCTTCCTGTCAGTCGGCTCTAACAGCTGTACAGACTTTTGATGGAGTTTGTGTCTGCACACAAGTGCGCTGTTCTGATATAATAAAGTCTCACAGTTATCACTGCGCAGCAGCACGATTCTCTCTGTAGCTGTTACCTGTTTAACAAACACCTGCACATGAATAATAGAATCATTTCTACTGGCACAATGTTTATATTATCTGCATTTATAGGCTATTTATTGATTCTGATTGTGAAATCGTTATTTAATAACCCAGAATATGATGTCTTGGGATTTATTAGGCTAAAGGTTTAAGAGAAATTGAAATGATGTAACTCTAGTCGAGGCTCAGTTTTAGGCTTTCAGTTTATTTCCTCTGCCGATGTCCTTTAACAATATAGCCTACTGCCTACATTATATTTATGCAAGTCACATCACTCGTCACCGATCGATCACTGCGTTCCGTCATAGCAATCCGACGCTTTTCTTTTAGTGTAGCGGCTTTCATTCATACTTTCATCAGCTGATTTTACTCGCGCAGCCGCCGGCTGCTTTCATCAGATGCAGTAGGTGAGATCGGCTGGATGAGCGGCTTTATTTTATAGTCGTCTATTTGGACTAAACACAAGAATGACCAGCCTCACGTGTGACTGAATAGAAATGACGATAAATTATGTAAAACATGTTTATTGCTGACAGACTCTCTCTCTGACTTTAATTGTCTCCATAATAAAAGTTGACAGGAGAAATAGAAGAAAAAGAAAATCGTTCTAATAAATGAAGAAAGTTGTGCGGGGCTTTTGTTGTTCAGACCTACTATGAACTCAGATTTTAACTAGAGAGTGAATCATAAAACAAATCAAATATAGTAACTCTTTGCAGTGATGCACTTGACTTCAATTTTATCTGGGTTGAGTTCAATCTCAAAACGTTTTGCACCGGTTTGCAACATTTTCTGATTGAACATGTTTCCTTGCCACGTTGCGCAACGTTCTGCAACGGGCTTCGAGGTTTTGCTACGTTTTGTCTGCGCTGAACTTGCCCCTGATCGTGTATCAGATCAGTCCGATCAGCTGCAGCGACCAATCAATATAACGGCTACCCAATAAGGGGGCGTGTCGGTCAGTAAAATAGGAGCTTTGGGACAGTCTGCAAGATGGCAGAGCAGAACAACTTCCGGTTCAAGCGAGGATCGAGGAAACGACAAATACAGGTGCATCAGAAAATTAGAATATCGTGAAAAAGTTAATTTATAGTAATTCAACTTAAAAGGTGAAACTAAATATTATATAGACTCATTACATGCAAAGTGAGATATTTCAAGGCTTTATTTGATTTAATTTCGATGATTATGGCTTACAGCTCCCCAAATTCAAAATCTCAGAAAATTAGAATATTGTGAAAAGGTTCAGTATTGTGGGCTCAAAGTGTCCCACTCTAATCAGCTAATTAATCCAAAACACCTGCAAAGGGTTCCTGAGCCTTTCATTGGTCTCTCAGTCTGGTTCAGTGGAAGAAGACTGCTGACCTGACAGCTGTGCAGAAAACCATCATTGACACCCTCCACAAGGAGGGAAAGCCTCAACAGGTCATTGCAGAAGAAGTTGGATGTTCTCAAAGTGCTGTATCAAGGCACATTAATAGAAAGTTAAGTGGAAGAAAAAGGTGCACAAGCAGCAGGGATGACCGTAGCCTGGAGAGGATTGTCAGGAAAAGGCCATTCAAATGTGTGGGGGAGCTTCACAAGGAGCGGACTGAGGCTGGAGTTACTGCATCAAGAGCCACCACACACAGACGGGTCCTGGACATGGGCTTCAAATGTCTTATTCCTCTTGTCAAGCCGCTCCTGAACAACAAACCACGTCAGAAGCGTCTTACTAAAGAAAAAAATAACTGCTCTGTTTCTCAGTGGTCCAAAGTCCTCTTTTCTGATGAGAGCAAATTTTGCATCTCATTTGGAAACCAAGGTCCCAGAGTCTGGAGGAAGAACGGAGAGGCACACAATCCAAGATGCTTGAAGTCCAGTGTGAAGTTTCCACAGTCTGTGTTGGTTTGAGGAGCCATGTTATCTGCTGGTGTTGGTCCACTGTGCTTTATTAAGTCCAGAGTCAGCGCAGCCGTCTACCAGGACATTTTAGAGCACTTTATGCTTCCTTCAGCAGACGAGCTTTATGGAGATGCTGACTTCATTTTCCAGCAGGACTTGGCACCTGCCCACACTGCCAAAAGTACCAAAACCTGGTTCAATGACCATGGGATTACTGTGCTTGATTGGCCAGCAAACTCGCCTGACCTGAAGCCCATAGAGAATCTATGGGGCATTGCCAAGAGAAAGATGAAAGAACTGAGACTGAACAATGCAGAAGAGCTATTGAAGCATCCTGGTCTTCCATAACACCTCAGCAGTGCCACAGGCTGATAGCATCCATGCCACGCTGCACTGAGGCAGTAATTCATGCAAAAGGGGCCCAAACCAAGTACTGAGTACATATGCATGATTATACTTTTCAGAGGGCTGACATTTCTGTATTTAAAATCCTTTTTTTAAATTGATTTCATGTAATATTCAAATTTTCTGAGATTTTGAATTTGGGTTTTTCATAAGATGTACGCAATAGTCATTGAAATTATATAAAATAAAGGCTTGAAATATCTCACTTTGCATGTAATGAGTCTATATAATATATTAGTTTCACCTTTTAAGTTGAATTACTGAAATAAATGAACTTTTTTACATCGATATTTTCATTTTCTGAGATGCAACTGTAAGAGACTTGAGAAGCACCCTGTATATGTTACGCAACATTTCAAATCGAAAGTGAAAGTTTTCACAGAGTCAGCAGATTATCAGGAGCAGGAAAGGGACAGCTGGCTGTGAACTGATATCCTCACTGGGTTTCTGAAGAGTTCCTTTAGTGAGACGCAGATTAAAGAGGACTTTGTGCTTGTTGGAGTTTCTACAGGAAGATGAAGATGTTTGTGGTGTTTGTGATCCTCGTGCACGGTAAGATAAACTTCCTCCCTCTGATCTGATCATCACCTCAGTCCAACGTCACGTCTTTAATCTGGGTTTCTTTTGTCTTAACTTCATTATACTGTTTCAGCTCTCCAAATTTTCCTTTCCTTTTACACGTCCATGTAGTACAACGTGTACACTCTGTAGTTACTTGTGTAGTTTGTGAATTTGGACAGGGCAGTGTTGTCTCAAATCAAACACTGTTGTATACCGGAAATGAGGATCGTAACATTTGTGGGCTTCTTCTAACGGAGAATTGCAACCGTTCACAAAGCCAAATCAATACAGATCGCTGTATCACCCCAATAAGCATAGTTTTAGCATCTGTCCATAAACAGTATAGTGGTACTTAGAGTAAAAAGTATAAATTACTTTTGTCTAGGGCGGTGTTCAACGGAACAACTGCTGCAGCTGCACACACGCAAAATATAGTGTAGGCGCTTTTTTTTCTTCAGATAAGTAACTTTATTTATATGGCACCTTTTAAGAGCAGACATCACAAAGGGCTTCACAATAACAGAAAATGACTGAATATAAGACAGAGCAGAGAATGGAGGAAAATAAAATAAATTGTTTTTATTTCAAGCATTAATCCATTGTTGCAGTACATCTACAGCATTGGAATAAACTATCATCCTAATTATATATTATTTTTCTCATAATTAACTGAAACTCCTGAAATAGTGATCATTTGGTACACTCTACTGGGTGAAAATGGAATTGCATCCCATTAACAACCTAAAAGAAAATTAATTATAGCTGTATACTATGTCTACATATTAGTTATATATGCCTATATATTACACAATAAAAGTTACAACAATATTAGTTTGTAGTAGTAATAATTATATAGGTTAGTAGTTGTAGTAGAAGTACCAGTATTGGCAGAAGAAAGCTGTAGTAGTAGTGGCAGTGGTTGTAGCAGTAGTAGTTTAGGCTGTAGTAGAAGTAGTGTTAGTAGCAGGCTTAGCCCCCAGGTTATGCGTAACTTGCACTAGCAAATGTTTGAACTTTCATCTATTGTTACTGTATTATAACTTCACTCATGTCACCAACCAGTGAAGAATCCGTTAACATGTAAAAAGTAACATATTCTCTTCTTCCATTTCTCCTCTGTTGAACAAAAGTTACTGTAATGTTAATGTAATGGACACATGACTGTTATCCAGCAGCTTATGTAAATATGTGATAAAGTAATACCATATCTAATTCCTCTCTCTATTAGATAAGTTGCTCAGAGCCAGTGAGCAACGGACTTTCAAAATAATATTTTTTTAAAACTTTGTTAACGTGTGATAAAATAATTGTCGGCATTAATTAATTAATGCGTTAACGGTGATAATAACACGTTAGCGTGCTGTCCTGCCCGGCAGTCTGGTATAGAGTATGATGAGCTGGATACCATATTGCCTATTGTGCCAGACAGATTTTACTTTAACAAGAGACTATTAATACTCCTTTTTCTGTTTTATTATTTATTTAAATGTATTTGTTACTGGGCTGGACAGGGGACAGACATGGGGATAGGGGATAGAAACACCACAGAAACAGACAGCACAGAGAGACGACAAAACCTGCAAGAGAACAGGGAGGGGGCTTGGGGCGGAGAGAACAACAAACAAAAACAACAACAAACAAACAAAAATAAAGAGGACGCCAGCCGCACAGCAGCCATAAACTGCTGACATAGGAAGACAACTGAGAGAGAAATGAAAACGAGAAAAAATCAAGCAACATAAATAAACAACACAGCACAGCCATGAGAGCTGGAATAATAACAATTAATTTAAATAAGTAACTGAAAGAAAAGCATCACTACTGTTTTCCATAGCCAACTAAAATATTGCATTTCCTTTACTTCACATAAACGTAGCTTAGGTTCAGCAAGTAACAGTTATTAAGTACAACATACAGTTTCACTCTGTATCACGCACTACCCTGAATTTTTCTTCCTTCACTATTCATTAGCGTGTGTGTGTGTGTGTGTGTGTGTGTGTCAGAGGTGTTTACAGGCTCTTAAAACATTGGGGGCTTAGCCCAGCCAGAACTCTTTAATGTTTCTCCTCAATGATAAATGAATTAATTTTAATTCAGTTAGAAACCCCTGCACTTTAATAGCTTCTGTGTTCAGCACCTTTTCTGCTCATGTTCAAAACTTTCTGCACATTCAGAATCTCTCCCACATATGTGTTCTCTGACATTTGCAGAATAATATTTTGAGACAAAAGTCGTAATATTATGAGAATAAAATGACAATCTAATCAGAATGAAGTCGTAATATTTTAACAAAATCTACCTGCCCCTCTGCTGTGCACGTGCCCTGCATTATTGCTCTGCTGATATGGTAGTGGGCTACAACGTCTGACAGACATAGAGCACATGTGGGACTGTAGTCGATGAGACGAGTGCACTGTTCATCAGAAGTAGAAAACCAAAAATGAAAACACTTTCGATCAGAAATAAATTTCATGTCAAATCCACACAAATGTTCAGGACAGTCAAACAGAGCAAATTGTCTGAGCGAGGAGTACAGAGACAGCAAAGAAAGGGACAGGTGTCTGTATCGCGGTCAGGTTTGTTGTGGTGTTCATGTCAACACCATGTTCATGTAGAAAACAAAGTCCATCTAAACAGTGAGCGCAACATGACAGCATAGGTGGTTCTGTTATTTGTCAGGTGATTTTGGTTTTAAACTGTGCTGGACCAGGTTGGTTTCAGGATCACCTGAGGATCCAGGAGGAATAAGACATGAAATAAGGCTGCTGTGATTGAACCTCTCTGTCTGTGTGACCTCACAGTTTCCCAGCATGCCTCAGCTGTGGAGCTGTATGAGGGGGAGGAGTTTGTCCTGCTGCCCTGTAAGTATCCCACTCCTGACATAGACGACCCCACAGTGGTGTGGAGCCGCAAAGATCTCAATCCTCCAACCGTCCACCAGCGTAAGCAGGAAGGTGATGAACTTACATACCAAAACGAGCTTTACAGCGGCCGAACATCCATGATGACTGACGCTCTGGAAACTGGAGACTTCAGCCTCAACCTGACAAAACTCCAGCTCTCTGACAGCGGCACCTATACCTGCACCGTCAGAGTGTTAAGAAGACAACAGAAACTGGGAAACATACAACTGAAGGTCAAAGGTAAGTAACAAACACTAAAACCTACCATAGATACAGGTTAGAGGCCAACGACGTCACCAGGTCATTTTTTGACTGTAGTCCCGAATGTAACTCAACAACAGCAACAAAAAATTTTACATGTTAATATGCAATAATCTTCATGATGCAGCCTGTCTTGCAAGTCTTCAAAGAGCAGGTCTTCACATCTCTTACCAGCCCCCACTCCCCCTCTTCTCGAGCTGTTTCTTGTATTGTGAGCCAAAATCTTTTTATTTAATTTGCCAAATGCGCGAAAATAACCAATATGTTTGCTACCCAGGCTGCAGTAGCTTCAACATCAGCTGCAGTAGCCCACCGTGCATAGAGCCGTGGCCACTGCCAGGTAGAGAAGGAGGCGTGTGACAGCGAAACAGAGTGACAAAGTGACAGGGCGAGGGACAGAGAGAGCAGGAGTAGAGTGGAGGTGAAGTGGTAAGCATGGAGTAGCTCAACCTGTAGGGAGGGAAGGTCCTTCACACTGGGGACATGTAGCGACCACTTTTTGAAGGCATTAATTAAAAATGTTCTGAAAAATAGCTTGCACCAAGAAATGGTAATTAACAAATAAAAGGTTGGTTTATTTGCACAATAAGCCTCCAATGCAGTGTAAATATAGAATAATTCTCTCTATATATAAAAAAGTAACTTAAGGTAAAAAAAAAAGAATAAGCCACTGATTACGGCATTACATTTTATTGTTTTTACCCTTTTTCACCATAAATTGGTGGAAAATATCCCCAGAATTCAGGAAATTAAGTTTTTAATGCTCAAAATCTTCTGGGGGACGACACCCAGACCCCCTATCAAATATTTCATCAATACATTTTTTATACTGATTTCAAATTAATTAAGGTTATTATATAAGGTGCCATATGCAGATTTAAAAATACCTTAGGCTACTTCAGGCATGTATGTAGACTCAGCTGGGATTAAATTCAATGAGTAAAGTGTATCTACAGGAGAAACATATATGACAGCAATACAGAATGCCTGACAGCTGCCCTGCATTATATTACACTATTTTTTTAAAATTTATTTTGAATTATCACCTCAATAATCAGAATGCAGGAAGTGTTTAGAGCCAAAACCTTTCAGGCGGAGGACCCCCATAGCATTTATCAACACAGTGGCAGTAGCATTTATTTTAGTTTTACCTTTATTTTACTATAAAGTCCCATTAAGAACAAAAATCAATTTTACAAGAGAGACCTGGCCAAGTAATCAGCCAGACATAAACACAACATATTAAAATGCAACATATACAACACAATCACAGTAAAACAGAAAGCACTAACAATAAGTACTGCTATTCTAACACAATGGCTTCACAAGAAAAACAACCACACAACTTCACCACATTCTTTATGACGCTCTTACATTTATCAATTGATAGACACGTTTCTAATTTGAGGCTTTTTTTGCTAATTAGTCCATGCCCAGGGTGCATGGAATGAAAATGTAGTTTTCCCAACATCTGTCAAAATTCAAGGTACATTAAAAAGCAACCGTAGCTGGTAACTACCAGAATTGCGACAGAGGTAAGCTGGAACATAGCTTTACCTAGCATCACTTTATACAGTATATCACAAAAGTGAGTACACCCTTCACATTTTTGTAAATATGTGATTATATCTTTTCATGTGACAACTCTGTGAAGAAATGACACTTTGCTACAATGTAAAGTAGTGAGTGTACAGCTTGTGTAATAAAACATGTAAATTTGCTGTCCCCTCAAAATAACATTAATGTCTAAACTGCTCCAACAAACCAACAAAAGTCAGCACACAACTAAGTGAAAGTGTCGAAATTGGGCATAAAAATATACCACTGCTGTTGTTTGCGAGTAGTAGTGATGTCCAACCCACCAAATCATAAAGAAGGCAATGGTGAGTAAGGGCCTTTGCATTTGTAATAAAAAGTAGAGATGCATGATACACTGAATTAAGACTCCATAAGATGCAGGAGGCTGTGTGCATATATAATATGTCACCATAATCAATAACAGACTGAAAATAAATAAACCCAGCTTTATTTTTAATGCCAAAAAAACTAGCTACTTTTCTATCTTCACTTTGAGCTTCCTAACTACATTAGCAATATGTACACTGAATAAAAAGTTTGTCATCTATCCTTATACCCAAGTACTTTTACGAGGACACCCTTTCAGTGGATTTACAATCAGACGTAAAAATGCTGAGATCATCAAGCAACTGTGAGCAAGCTTTTGAGAAGACCATGAACTTTGTTTTCTGAGGATTTAAAACCACTTTTAAATTAAACAGAGCAGTTTGTGTAATGACTAACATGCAGTCTGAAGGTCTTGCACTGCCTGTGCTGTGGAAGGAGCATGCGTATAAATGACAGTGTCATCAGCATAAAAATAGATCCATATATAAGGGCCAGTTCTAGACCAGATTGAAAATGGTTTGAAAAAACGCTTTTAACAGTAAATTTAAATAGGATTCAAGGATCTTAGCCAGGATTGAGAGTTTGGAGATCGGATGGAAATTGTTTAGCTCTGAGGGCTCCCAACCTTTAAATAAGGGGAGAACACCTTTCTAGATTTTAGGTATTGACTCAAATTAAAAATGTCAAAAGTCATAGACTCAGCCATAACATGTGCCACCATCTTTAGGAGATAAGGATCCAGATTGTCTAGACCTGCAGACATTTTGTGGCCAAATACATTTCAGAGCTTTACATACTTGAGCAACTGAAATAGTTTTAAAATCAAACAAATCCATATTTCCATTAATTGCTGTGGTGGCAGAACATGGGACAAAGACTGAGAACCATGAATTTCCCCTGAAACTTCTTAACAGGACCCAGTTTATTAGAGATTGACAGAAAAATTTACTGAAAATATTCCTATGCCAGTTCAACATCTGTAATCAGAGTTTGTTAAGATTACAGCAATATAAATGATGCGGAAAGCCTGCTCTTCAAAACTTTTAAATCCATCCATCCATCTTCATCAGCTTATTCGGGGTCGGGTCGCAGGGGCAGCAGCTTCAGCATGGGACCACAAACTTCTCTTTCCTGAGCCACATTAACCAGCTCTGACTGGGGTATCCCAAGGCCTTCCCAGGCCAGTGTAGAGATATAATCTCTCCACCTAGTCCTGGGTCTTCCCCGAGGCCTCCTCCCAGCTGGACGTGCCTGGAACACCTCCATAGGGAGACGTCCAGGAGGCATCCTTACCAGATGCCCAAACCACCTCAACTGGCTCCTCTCAACGCAAAGGAGCAGCGGCTCTACTCTGAGCTCATCGCGGATGGCCGAGCTTCTCAACCTATCTCTAAGGGAGACACCAGCTACCCGCCTGAGGAAACCCATTTCGGAAGCTTGTACCCGCAGTCTCGTTCTTTTGGTCATGACCCAGTCTTCATGACCATAGGTGACGGTAGGAACAAAAAGGAATAGGAAAATTGATCGAGAGCTTTGCCTTACAGCTCAGCTCTCTTTTCGTCACAACGGTGCAGTAAAGTCAACGCAATACCGCCCTCGCTGCTCCTATTCTCCAGCCAATCTCCTGCTCCAATCTCCCCTCACTCGTGAACAAGACCCTGAGGTACTTGAACTCCTTCACTTGGGGTAAGGACTACCCCAAGTGGACTTGGACTACCAGGACTACCCCACTAGGGAGTGCCAACTCCCTACCTGGAGTTGGCACTCCACCGGTTTCCTGCTGAGAACCATGGCCACAGATTTAGAGGTGCTAATCCTCATCCCAACTGCTTTGCACTCTGCTTCGAACCGATCCAGTGAGAGCTGGAGGTCACGGACCGATGATGCCTTCAGGACCACATCATCTGCAAAAAGCAGTGACGAAATCCCAAGCCCACCGAACCGCAGCCCCTCCTCGCCACGACAAAGCCTCGATATCCTGTCCATGAATATCACAAACAGGATTGGTGACAAAGCACAGCCCTGCCGAAGGCCAACCCTCACCTGGAAAGAGTCCGACTTACTGCCGAGTACTCAGACACAACTTTTGCTTTGGATGTACAGGGATTCTCCAGATCTACAAAGCACATGTAGACTGGATGGGCATACTAGTCGTAGCCCACTCCAGGATCCTTGTGAGAGAGAAAGAGCTGGTCAGTTGTTCCACGACCGGGACGAAAATTGCATTGTTCCTCTGCGATCTGAGGTTCGACTATCGCTCAAACCCTCCGTTCCAGCACCCTGGAGTAGACTTTTCCAGGGAGGCTGAGAAGTGTGATACCCCTGTAATTGGCACACACTCTCTGGTCCCCATTTTTGAACAGGGGAACCACTACCCCAGTCTGCCACTCCTTGGGCACCGTACCCAACTTCCATGCAATGTTAAAGAGACGTGTCATCCAAGACAGCCCCTCCACACCCAAAGCTTTTAGCATTTCTGGGCGGATCGCATCAATCCCTGGGCTTTGCCACTGTGGAGTTGTTTGACTACCTCAGTGACTTCCTCCAGGGAAATTGACGAGAAACCCCTATCAGCCTCCAGCTCTGCCTCTACTAGAGAGGGGCGTGTCAGTCGGATATAGGTGTTCCTTCCACCGCCCAATTACCTCCCCAGTTGAGGTCAACAGGGTCCCATCCTTACTGTACACAGCATGGACGGTTCCCCGCTTCCCCCTCCTGAGATAGCGGAGAGTTCTCCAGAAGCACTTTGGTGCCGACTGAAAGTCCTTCTCCATGTCTTCTCCGAACTTCTCCCACACCCAAAATAAACTTTTAAATATCTTTTTTTAAATGAACCAGGGTTTTACCTTGGGGATTTTCAATTCCCTACACAAGAAATTGCACAATGATCACTGACATCATTGCAAAATAAGCTCGTTGAGGTGTATTTGTGAGAAGTATTTTTTATAATTAAATCACGCAAGGTACATTTATGTTGCTTTAGGATTTGGCCTTTACAAAGAGAGGTTACCATAAGTGCGCATTTTCCAACATCCACGAAGTAATAATCGCAGCTTACATCCCTGATCCTACTC